TACCGTTTTTGCTTTGTTTTACTTCGTATTTGAGGGCAATTTTCCAAGTACAAGCCCCTGGGAGGCTTATATTTGGAGGGGCGATTTAACGGAGAGTTTTTTGCGTCACCGGTTTGGGGGGCTTATATTTTGAGGGGCTTATACATGGAGGAATTTTACGGTATATCGCTACGTCAGTCTGGTATACCGTTAAATTCCGAAAATAAGCCCCTCCATGTATAAGCACCTCCAAATATAAGCCCCCCGCCACCGGGGAGCTTGTACTTGGAAATTGCCCTCAAATACAAAGTAAAACAAAGCAAAAACGGTAAATTTACTTCAAACTATAAGGCTAGTCCAATCGATTTGTAAACGCGTGGGAAGACGCCGAACAGGGACTAGGGATGGCGATGTCTACCGTAGCGTCCGAGAAAAACAGGGAAATGTTGTTTATCGGCAACGTGTTTTACAAACACTGACATCTCTGCGTGTTGTTTCAGTACTGTTTTGAAGGCACGGCAGTCCTGAAAATTGCAAATATTAATCCCCAGCAGGAAGCCACACTTTCGCTATGGAAAAAATTAGTTCCCCAAGAAAGCGCCGGAAATGGAGCCTAGGTCTTGGTTAACACCTAAAAGGCGCTTCGCCTAACGTGCGTACGGAGTCACACTAGCCGGGAAATAAAAAACGCAACCATAAGTGAGTTTAGTACCTTCCTTAAAAGTAGCAAATCTAGGGAACACTTTCTTTTACGGTGAACTCTTTTTTACGCTATTTACGGCTAACGGTTAAATTTTTTAAATTTTTACGGCTATCGGCTAAATTTTTGGCGGTTTTACGCCTATCGGTTAACCCTATTGAGACCCTCATATAAGCCCCTCCAAAAATAAGCCCCTCAAAAAGGGCATTTGAAAAATATAAGCCCGGGGCTTATTTTCGGAATTTTAGGGTATTTTATTATCATGAACATCTTTATCATGGCAAATTTGTTGTCTTAATTATTTTCTCCATGCATATAAATTAAAAAATTAGTGAATGTTTCAGACTCTTATTGACTGCCGCGTGTGGACCGTTTACTTATTGACTCGAACTTCGTCAAAAAAAAAAAACATTATCAATCTGCACCCCATGCATATTTTGAAACTCTGCCAACGACCAAGATAACACCATCACAAAAGAATATCGCTCTTACCTTTTCAAAAGCATTTAGCTCTTGAGTAGTCAAACAAACTTTCTCTGCAATCAACGTAGAAAATCATGATTTCAAAATCCCGGTTCATTTGCCAAAGGATCGGCCTATTAACTGAGAAAATAAGCTAAACATGTGGATATGGAGAAAAGCCAGATCACCTCTTTTCTGCTGAGCAATTTTCAAAGAACACAGGTGGGGGGTTTTCTCCAACGAATATTAATAAACTTGCCGACCGTCTTCGGTCTATGCGTAGCCATTGGTGACGCATTTCGTCTTTAATGCCTGTTATGTTAAATTAGTACAGGGGCACCCAACGACAATTTTAAGGAAATTATCTGTTCGGAAGACGATTTGAGGTCTAGAATTTTCGGATCATTTTCTGAAAAATTTCTTGCTTGCCTGCCTCTCCTAGGATTTTCGAACTTCATAAAAATCGTATAATTGCCCATTTTTAACGGATTTTTACCGTAAAAAAGTCACCTAGAATTTTCGGGAGCCTTTTTTCTGGCTGAAATTTTCGAAAACGTAAATTTTGATCCCTATAAGTTTCGGATCACTATACTTTCAGCTAGGAAATCCGAACAGATGAAAAATCTTTAGGGGATAAAAATAAGCCTTTATCTACCGTTTAAATACTAAAGTATGTTCAACAATGCTATGTTTATGTGGTTTTGAACTATATTCTCGTTGGGTGCCCCTGTTAGTACGCCTTAATTGTTTCAGCCTCTTTGCGAATCTCTCATTTTAAAATCAGTCTATTAATATTTTAAGATGTTTACTTTTTTTTTTAAGAAACATGTTTCATCTCTCGCGGGGTAATATTACCTCGACTTCCCATAGCACCTTTTAAACCGTAAAAGATCGTGAGACAATCGCGGTATCACGCCCAGAAAGTGTAGGAGGATTGCAGAGAAATGTTGAAAGGCTTTTTAACATACAAATTATCTAACTGTTGTGGTAACACGACATATTTGATCTAATTTTCAAACTGAATTCGACAGCACGTAGATGACAGCATGCAGCTGTTTAATTAATTTTTAACTTGTGTCTACAGCAGGTGCATTTAGAAGCATTATTAAGAGTCCTCCATGTAGGCGTTTTCAATATTATCACCAGTTTTGGCTGCTAAAGTGGCCAGATAGCGATGAGTTGAGATGCAAAATATGGCCTCCTTTCTTCGTGGTCAAAGCGTTCCCATTTTCTTGTTGTCATTGGAACTTTTCTTAGCTTACGTGGAAGGTAAGTGCTGCGATTTTAGTTCTTTTAATTAAAAGTTAAACGCTCCTGTTCAAATATATCTTTGGATTACTTTATATCATCATGTCTTGT